GAAATTAAAATTCAGTTTCGGCGACGATGATGATGATTGGAATTCAAAGAGCGTACTATTATCCGCTGCAAAAAGGGAAGGGATTAAATGTTGAAAAAAAAAATCGGGAGCGCGAGTAGGGTTTATGTGTCCGTGCGTACTATTTTCGAAAAAGAATCGTCGTCGTTTCCGATCGCGCTCACTTCTTTATTGAAATATGCAAAATCGGTTCAAACTGTCTATCTGAATCAACGCGGGCGCGCCGCCTCCGCGCCCGACGAACGGACGCGCATTCTAGTGATTCCCTCGCCGACCGGCGGATCCTGTCGAACGTAAATTATAAACTTTTTTACTTACGAAAGGGGATAAAATTGGATATCCACAATTTTTTACATCGTTCTTCTGCCGCACGATCTGCAGGTGAATCGCAACCGTTTTGCAACTGACTTTTATCTCCTACCAAAGGTTTCGCGAAATATTATTACGAAAAAATTACAATTTTCTCTAATAAAATTGGTGTTTGACGTAAAAATGATTTTAATTTTAATTTTTTGACATTTTCTTCCAAAGATGATTATTTTATGTAAATTGTATAGATTTCCAAGCTTTTTTTGTGTGGGTGTATGTGTGTGTTGGGAAAAATATAATTCGTTTTCCTTCTTAAACGCATTACTTAGTATTCATGAATCGTATTTGACTAAAATCTGGCGGTTCTTTCGCTGCCTTCTGATCCGCGCGTTTCGTTCAGCAGTTTGAGCACAACCGCCGCAGAAGACGTGGCCGTAAGAAGAGTCGTTTGCAGGAGCGGCACTAACCACGACGGGGGGCGGCGGCAGCACAGCGGCGTGGGGAACAGTTGTAGCGGGCAAAACGAGGCGGCAGCGCGCCGCAAACTTTTTCCAGCTCGGGCGAGATGCGAATTTTCGTGGTTTTATCGAAGGTTATACTTTTTGGCCCCTGATAAGAATAAAAGTGTTGCGCTCGTGAGCACTCGCCGCCGCCTCGCCATAACACCAAACCGCCGCACAGCCATACGTAGGCTACGAGTGCGCGCTTTATCCCCCAGTGGTCCGCGCGCGGAAATTCCCCCGGATTCCGACCGAGTGCCACCAGCAATCCCTATTATTCTGCTGTTCCCACTAACCCTTATTAACTTATTTAAATACACCCCAGACGCGCGCGCGTTTGCCGCCCCCACGCCGCTTTATAATCTACCGGAGTACTTCTATATACCTGCCGCGGCGGGCGGCTAAGATCTACGCACGGTGCTACTCTCGTGCCAACAAATCAATTAGTTTTATAATTTCTACACCACAGGACCGGATTAACAATAATCACAACCCAAAAATTATCCACTAATCATTCCAAGTCATTTTTGTTTATATTTTATTAATTCTACGGAGAAATCAATACATTTACTTCAAATTTATATCTAAAGTTTGCCATGTTGTCACTTTAGTGCTACTCTAGAGTTTAGTGTAACTAAGGTTGCATACAATGATTAGCAATACAAGCAATAACTCATAATTCCTCCAAATTAATCGATATATTGAGATAGGTCGGTTGTGCGCTTGCAAGTACAGGCAATGCACGTGCTTTATCATTCGCCGCCCCGTTATTTGGCAAACACACACCGCCTGGTACCCCCAGGTAGCCACCATCGCCGTAATCACGGCCCGATGTACGCCTCGCTCAACAATTCATTAGCATAATCAGCAATTACGCCGAAAATTACAACCAATTGTTATCATATCAAACTATTGCAGTGGTTATTGCAACTCGCTCCGAACTTCAATCGTTAGCAATCTTCAAACAAATATATTGCAGCCATATTATTTGTTTTTCGTCGTTGATCCCTGAATAATTGCTTGTTTATATAAATGCACAGTTTTCACGCGTGTTTGCTAATTGCATGTTTTGTTTGACGCGCTACAATTATTTGATTTCATAAACATCCATTAGCAAATAATTCATCGTTAATTAATTAAATATATGTGGAATTTCATATAAATGAAATTTATTTTATTAAGGTAGATTGCAGGATATTCACGGTTAGTTATAATTTGAATTATTGCGAAATAAATGGAGCGTTACTCATTCGTTGTTCGTTACGACTAGTTTTTCTAACTATATTCTTCGATGTTCTATTGTAATCCCACCGTGTTTGTTGTATTCTTTTGTTGCGCGTCTTGATGTATTGTTTCTCGTTTTTCTCGTCTTTTCTTGTTTTGTAATACGTATGCGGCGTGACGATCAAAAAGGCAAACCTGGACCTGGAGGTTTTTTTTTCTTCTTCGCATACGTTTCGCGTCGTGTCGCATCCGAATCCAAATCCAGCATTCGTTTGCGATAGGTTTGTTGTATCACTGATGTATTCTTATACATAGAAGACTTTACTTCTGCGGCGTGCGCAGTGTGAATGATTCTGTTAATAGCAGGATGGAGAACTGCTTTTTTGTCGTCGTCATTGTCCCTGACAACCGAAGTGGAACTACGGACTGCTGTTATTATCGTCGTCTTAGTTCTTTCGTCTTCATCGGGAATGGTAGCTGCGGATGCACGTCGAAGCGCTTGCGGCTTACGGAACCAGCAGTGCAATCATAATTTGAGTTTTGTGTTTTATTCATTACGGTTTCGTCGGCGAGTTGCTTTCGCTTCGGTGTCGTGACACATCAAAGCGTTACAAATTCAACTTTAATGTTGAAATTTTCAACGTGCAATTGTATACTTTTCGAAAAACACCTTTTTTTTAAACATTCACATAAACATATCAAGTGATGAGAATTAATTATCATGACATGAGTAATCATCAATAAAACTGATTAGTTACATTCATCGTATTGGAATTATTAATGATCCGGATGCACTCTGCCACACGCTGACGATAAACATTTCGCAATTTAATTGCACCCCAACGTGCGGGTGAATTTACACGATCTAGGCGTCTAGGTATGTCACGTCGACATCGTAAACATGTCCGCGGCATCAGGTGGCGGCAGGTATTTTCTAATTTCGCGCCATCGCAAATTAATCCCCGTGCTTTACGATAGTGACACATCATCAAAACAGTTTACCGCCATCATACAAGCATTATGCAATGATTGAGCGTGAAATTAAATTAACTCCGCTGGAATTATTAATTCCTAATAATAATATTCTACTAACATTCCGTATGAAGAAAATACAAAACATACACACAGTCATATACTGCGGTTGTGGGTCTCGGTACGCTTTGGCGCACATTGAGGAGGACGGCGTGCAATTTATTCATGAGTAACTTACCTTATATAAAGGCATTTGGTGCGCTCAGCCGCAGAGCACGTAGCATAGGTTGCGGTGCGTCTCCTCTTCCACCTTTACCAAATCGACATGCTTCGTCATCGGCACAGAAGCCCACAACCCAAGCAGCCGGGCAGACAGGACCGTCTCAAGACGATGAGTAATAGAAATAATTCGCGGTAATGATCTCACGCGTATAATACATGTGGATGTCGATGTGAATTTGTATTCTGATTTACACATGAAAAGAATTCTCAACTCACAACATACACGCTTGCTTTGTCAACTGAGAGAATATCGTACATGTAAATGAATCCTATGTAAATCCAAGAAAAGAACTTCCTTCTGCGAAGATAAGAATAAGTTAAATTTGTGTTTCTGTAACACTCGGTGTATCGGTCAACCTACTTTCCAAAAGTTTGCAAAGTTTACTCGCACATACTGCGCGTATGCGAGCTTGTGAACTCGCTTCTTTTCGACTAGATCGTTACGCTCCGAAAAATTTATAAAGCGCATTGAATTATTTAAGACAAAAGACGATGGGTAAACAATTCATGAATGGCGAGGCACTCGCGCCGCTGAGCAATATAAATAAAATTGTCTCATGTCCAATGAATGACGGAAGGTCGCTGCCTATCAATTAGTCCTTGTTCGATTCGTTTTTTCCTGCCTCCCACGTAGTTTTCTGACTTGTAACCTATTTTGTAAATATTGGAAATATCAAGCTGAGAGCTAAGCGAAGTGAAACAAGGTTGTTATTTATACATTTTCAACTTTGATTACTTATGTGTTGTTTCCACCCGAGCGCTGCCACCGGAACTGAACGAAATTTTCCTGCTATTAGCCTGCGCACGATATATCGTTCGATGGAAATATTGGCTACGTTATTGTTGCACAAAAACTCTGAAATCTACCCGGCGAAAGAAAGGATTAAATTCGCTATTGTTGAACGTGCGCGTTGTGAAGCTGAAGTTTTTTCCGTGCCACGTGGAAAATGGCGGCGGGCAAGTGGCGATCGACCGATGGCACGCAACCCCAAGTGTAACGCAATCGCACGCCAGCGCGAATAAGACGACACGCCATCAAATATTTACGTAATTTATTGCGCGAATGTCCGCAGCGCCGCGCCATGGACTAATACGCAGCGTGGTGTACTTAATGGTCGATTTATGCCCTCCACATACTCCCACACACACATACTTACCTGCTGCAGTGGTATACTTGAACATTAGGTTTCTAGGTTGCGCGCCACGAATAAAATCAAAAGCTCAAGCGGAATGTGCATGAATGAAAACGTGGATTGCGTTACACCGTAACGCTGGTGTAGCGCAGCGACGAAATTAGATAAGCAGTCGGGAAAATTACCAACACATTGTTGTCTTATAAAGTAATTAAAGCGACGCCTTGCCTTTTGTTGCCCGACGAAAACGTTCGCAGCGCGCCGGAAAACGGGCGAGCGCAATGAAGAATGCCAGCCCGGCGCCTCCACCATCGTCCTGCCATTCTACTTTCGTGCTCTCCGTGCGCTTGCTTGTTTGTTAAATGGCATTACGACGACGTCGACAGACGCCCAGGGTATTGCCAACTGCGGACACCTTCTAAATCAGTTTTTACAACTCGAGCACGTCACTGGACTCGTAAAAATGATTCGAGCTTGATGTCAAAGTGCAGTTAAATTACAAAGCGCATGGTACAACCCAATCAATCAGCTGAAATAAAAAGAAATGAAAATTGAACAAAAATTATTTCTGTACATCGCAATCATTTTATTTTCATTTTTGGTAACATTAAGAATACTGGATAAGTACTGATATATTATTTCATTTATACACAAACATTTCGTTCAGTAATTATTACGTTTTTTCTTTATCATTGTTTAGTTAATATTTGACATTGATAGAACTTCAGCTCCGATGTTCTCGATTAAGATCGTATTCGTTTACGTTAGTAATTGTTTAGTAATTGTACGAGACAAAAGTATATCATTGAAATGAAGTATGTAATTGAATAAAATCAATACCATATTGATGAACATCGAACATTACAATGGATAACTGGTACATCAGTGCAAATGTTTTGCTTCTGCACATAGATTTTCTTAAATTCTTTCTCTGGTGAAATGATCATCCGGATGATTATTCGTTAATGTGTATCGTAATCCTATGATACAATGTCTCGTTAATTTTAGTCGCTTTATTCTCTAATAAATATAAAAATAAATAACTTATATTATATCATTATGTTTTATTACAAATATGTTTTTAGTCGATAATTATTGTTGTTTTGCTCATGCTGATATTTTTGTTTGCCATTGAAAACTTTTTCTCAGTAATTTTTTCTTTATTCATCGATTTCTATTCAGTTTTTCATTTATTTTACAGATGTATGATACAATCGGTCTGTACACATATAAAACAGTTAGTTGATTATTTTGGGTAGAGTTAACGCAAACAAAAGACAGTGGTTACGTGAAAGGAAAAAATTGAACACAATGATTGTGTTACGGCTTACTGCAATATGATACATATTTGCGTATTTATTTAACGTGTTTACTCTGGTTGCATTCGAAAGTACTCTTGTTTGTATCTAGTTACGTCAGCAATCAGTCTCAGTCTTTTCAACCGGATGTGTATACTTCGTCCTTATCTAGCGTTTATCTATGATACATTATTCACATGCTCTATGTACAAGTCATCTATTCGTGTCTCACTGTTGTTGTGTTGTATTTTTTTGTTTTGTTTTCCCAAAAATTACTTTACTTACAGCGTAATGATAATAATTTATACATATCCTTTCTGGTTAAATCGATATCGTTTCTTTCATATCCTGTATAATAACATTAATTAAATAGTTTATGATATCACACGTAATTTGCTTCGAGTTTTATATTCCTCATACGGTTTTTAGCACGTCCATGCAACGATTCTTCATTCTTTCGCGTTGATTGAGCAACCTCTCAAGCCGTATTACATCATCAGTCAAACCGTCGCTAGTTGTCTTGTTCAATAGGAACGTTAAGTCTTTGGTATGTTGTTTTCCGCTCGCCCCTCGCGGCGCGCCGGCGGGGGAAGTCGGAAGGTTTTGGCGTTAAGTGTTCGTCGGCGCGCTTACACGTCCGTGCCGCATCCCTCCTGATAGCCCTCGTCTGGCGAGCTGCGGTTGTGGCTGAGGGCGCGCTTCAAGGCGGTGACCGGCGGCAGCACGGGGACAGCACCCTTCTGCCACACGCGTATCGTCTTGGCGTTGGCGGGTGCCGCTGGCGCGCCTTTGGTGTCCGCCTTGGCGTCGACCATCGGAAGACCGTAGTCAGAGGGGTAACCGCCAGCTGACCGGCCGTTGGCGACATTTGCAGTCGCCGCAGGCCGATTGTGCTGCTGATGGTAGTCTTCGCCGTCGTTTGGATGTATTGCCTCGCCGATGATGGGTGTCTTGTCATCGTAGTGGAAGCCTGGGTTGGTGGCGCTCATGTGCCGCGCATTGTATCCATCAACATCAGCGCCCACTTCCCCCCAGATACCCGAAGGGTAGAGGGAATCTGCATTGCGACTGTATTCTCCACTTCCAGGCCTTTCTAGCGGTTCGACTGTGTATCCTTCTTCGCTGGTAGTAGCTGCCCCGGGTCCAACTTCTCCACTGCCCATCATTTTTGTATCGTTGATCAGATCCGGATTGTTGCCAGAGCCTGGTGATGGTGACACGAAACAGGAGCCTGGGTTCATGATGCTGCCATTGCCGTTGTAGTGTGCCGTCGTGTAGGAGATGTCATTCACGCGTGGTGGTTTCTGTACTGGATTGCAAAAGTTGAGATCGGTGGGTATCTTGCGCTCCGAGAACGAGGAGGTTTCAGTGGCGGGGTTGCTGGGTGAGATGGCGCCCTTGCCGTTGGGCGGCCCGCCGCCATTCACCACCGTCACAACCTCAATCTGGCCCGGTGTCTTACTCTCCGAGAAGGGCATGCGGCGCAGGCGGATTAGCAATACGAGGATCACCAGAAGGATGAATAGAATCAGAATCACCAACGCTGCACTCAACCCGGCGATTTGGCCGTTCCCGAGAGAGACCATTCCCGCCGAACGCATGCTAACGCGCAGCGTGAAGTTCGCTTCCGCATTTCCGGCACGATTCTCAGCCACGCAATAAAACTCGCTGGAATCAGTCTCGAGGGCATTGGTTAGTACCAAATTGCTTCGTTTTTCGAAGTGCCCCTCCTCGAAGATGAATATTTTCTGGTGCGTGCTGAATGCCGAATTGTTCACTAGTAGGCGCCCATTCCAGTACCAATTTATGTGCGCCATTGGGATGGCATTAGCTCGGCACATGATAGTAGCGTTGTCACCGGCCGTTGCTTCGATGTACCTGCTGACAGGCAGAATCTCCGGTTTGCATGCAAAATCGTCCACATGTAGTTCAGCGAATGTTTTATGAATGACCCGTTCCGGCCCACCACTGCAAACCGGTGCAATCGGATATGGGATATTATGATGCGTTAGCCATTCCTTGACCGGTCGCAGCCTGCAGTCGCAGTTCCACGGATTGTCGTGCAACTCGACGCCATGCAGCCGGCTAAGCGTTTCGACCGTGCGCGGTCTAAGATCCGAGAGTCTGTTGCCGTTCAGTTTCAACGATTCCAGTAATTCGATTCCTTCGAAAGCCTTTGGCGCCACCACCTGCAGTTCACAGTTGGACAGGTCCAACTTGACCAAACCCGGTACTGTCTGAAATGCATGGCCGTCGATCTTCTGAATGGGGTTGTGGGAGAGGATTAGATCGCGTAAGAAGGGCACGTCTTGGAACGTCCCCGCTGGGATGGCCGTCAGCAGATTGTAGGACAAGTCCAGCTCGATGAGGTTGGTCAGGCCACGAAAGGCCAAGTCATCAATTTGGCCAATGCGACAGCTCCGCAGAAAAACGCGTTGCAGATTGAGCAATCCCGCACGCACGAACGTCTCTCGCGGAAGGATCTGTAGATTGTTCCCGGATAGATCCAACACTTGCGTCTCAGCATCGACGCTTTCCGGAATTGTAATAAGCGCACGATCGGTGCACTCCACGGTTTGCTTACCACCCTTCCATTTGCACGTGCACACTGCGGGACACTGTCCGCCCATGCCGCCGCACGTATCCAGAACCACTGCTAGCACCAGCGTCACCAGCAGCCACAGCGGGCCGCGTCCACTCGTCTTCCGAGTCATAGCACCACACACAATCCGATTTTATATTCCACCACGTCGGACGTCCGTAACGACCGATACCGTAAAGTTCGCACTCAACTGCTTTGGCATACTAATCGATTGATTACTCCACATCGGCTTTGATCACGCATTTATTATTAGGTTGTCATTAATTGCTCCCTAATTGGGGTGACCCAATAAGAGATGTATTTGTGTCGCACTGAATCCACGAAACACACACCTCTGCTGTACACTCTCAACTGGCAACGGAGCGCGCACTAGGGGTCCGCACGTACACGTTACCGCGCGGGCGTTCGCTCGTTGACTGACTGAAAGCGGCGAAGAACTCCGGAGTCGGCCTGCTCCGATGCCGCCGCGCTACTCTCTCTCTTTTGCGCCCTCCACCGCGGCGCCGGTTGCGCACTAGTTCAGAAGTAACCACCGCATCACCGTACTGATTTTTGTGCTTCGACCCCCTCGCCTCGTGCACACTCAATACACCCTTGCGCCGATAACTGCCGCACGTACGCGCGTTGTTACAACTTCGTTCTTACGCTAATTTCACCTGTGCGAGCAAAATGAGAGAAAAACTAGTTTACGACTTGGTCGACTCAGACGACCTATAGCATTTAAACGCTGGAGAGCATGATATATTAGTATCGATGGGGACATCCCACAACCGACAACGGAATGGAACGAGTGTGTGCGGTTGAGTGCAGGAACGCCGCAGCAGGTTTATCGAAAAAGCGTACATGCACGATGGCAGCCTTCGAGGCTTATAAATATTAATGAAGTTTCTGTCTTTCTGAAACATGCACCGGATGCGTCCGAGACCTGAGTTGGAGCCGGAGCGGAGAGCGGACAATTACACATTCCCGAAAAAGGGGCCGGCGCGCATTTGAATTATTAAATTATTAAATTCCACGACGCATTTAATGAATACGCTCTGTCGATATCAGCCAATACCCTACTACCTACTAGACTACTCCACAATCGTATTTAGCACACACAGCAGCCTACTGAAAAGTTAATCGCAAAATTCGTCGAATACCACGTAAGGTATTTACTATTTTACTATACTAGTTGGGTTTCTCATACCTGAATGAACAAAGCAGACCATTCAAAAAATTGCAATAACGTGAGTGCGAACGTCCGGGGTACCAGTCATCCCAAAACCTACTTAAGCACAGGAAACACCCTATAGAATGTATACAACAAACTAAATCATGTTGTTGCACGCGGCGAATGGTCGCAAACCTGAATAAAACTGTCACAAACCTGTGACAATTGATGGTGTGAAGCGAAAAATTCACCTCGAGGGTGACAATCGGTCGTAAACAGTTTAAGGGACTTTATTTACGATGCGTGAAGCCGTCAATAACTAATTTCACCTGGAAAGGGCCGATATGATGAGATTAATACATTGATAAAGATTCAAATCCAAACGTGAGGGTTGTGCGAATGTAGAGATTAGATTTCAGACACTTCCTACGGAATCGGATAATAATTCTATGCTACTAACATAAATAATAAATACAAAACAAAATTTAAAATATGCCGAGTTGTGTTTTGCTGTTGATGTTGTTGCTGGGGATATAAGTGGTTATTTATAAGTCGAAACGCGACGAAGGAAACAATGTGCCTGCGCTAGTTTTCCAACCGGCGTGGAGCTTAAAGAGCGACTAATGTGTGTTTACCTCCGACCCAAAGTCCTTGCGCACGGCGGCGCAGAAAAAACAGCTCGCCACCCTATCCAAGTAGTACTGAGGTAGCGTGAGTAGTAAAGGTATTAGAATATTTAAATATAAAAAAACGGTCACACACACTTGTATATACGACCTCGGCGGCTGCGGTGCTCGCATTTTCCGAACCGAAGCACGTTCCTACTCTTTACTACCCTCTCGCAACACGCGGCGCGGAACTCTGACCTACCGTCGACGCCGATTAAATTTTCAGCGGTCCGTCGAGGTGCTGCAGCTATTTTCGCCCGCGAGCGGACGGGGACGTTTAGAGGCACTCATCTACGTTGACATTTTATTAGTTACTAGGATCATGTAACATTAAAGCTTGTAAGAGTTGTAAGAGTTTTGATCCGATGATGGAGAGGATATAAGTTGTACCGATTTCTACTCGACAATAACAAGATATTTTTGTGTTGTGTTGTAGCGTGAGAGTGCAGTTGAGAAAAAAATAATACCAACTGCACTCGGGCATTGGCTAGTGAGCGTGTGTTAATTTATAAATTCGAAGGACGAACGCGGCCGCGACCGGATGTCGCGCACACCGCACAAGACACACACCGACGTGGCCGTAGAGTGTGTGGAATCGATTCTTCGGTCCGAGGAGCGCGTGAGAGCTGAGTGGTCGACGGTGCGTGTCCGGTCGGACCACGTTCACGATGTTGTCGGGATTTTATTGCTCGTCCATCGGCGGGGCCCTTAATTTCCACTTCATTAATTAAGCATTACGTCGGCGCGTGGTACTGTAATGAATTTATGCCTGGACGTCGGTATCGACATAGACGTCATGATCATCGGTTCTTTATTTGACCAAATTGTTCGATATTTATAGATATGTGTCATGTTAGTTGTGACGATTAATCTTTAACCACAACTAGCGAATATGTAAATATTGCTCGTATATTCAAGGCGAATGAGAAATCTATTTTTGACTTATGTAGATTTCAGCAGCACGAGTTCAAAGTTTGTAACGTTTTGTATCGAAGTATTGTGTTGCGCGCGGATAATGGTGGGCGGTATGAAAAATTCATAAAACGCTCTAACCGTAAGTAAGCCGGCGATATGTGTACCCACTTTCGACCATTAGCGCCACTCGCAAAGAATGCCTACGTACATTTTGTCTGCTGTGGTGTTAAAAGATAGGGGATGCACGATTTAAATCTGAGCGCTGTGCATTCTCGGCATTCGCTGGAGGTCTGACACATATTTAGCATTTTTAGCGCGCGGTATTTTGATGTGGCTGTGTGTGTTGTATTTTGCACGAGACAAGAATGAAATACGTTCGCTGTGGAATTCAAGCATATGTGCATGTGGTTAATTCGGCGTGAAGTGTACACTTTTCTGGAAGGCACAAAAGAATATCAGAATCTCATTAAATCCACTTTGGCGTAGACATCTTCAACACGAGCGCTTCTATATCATTTCCAGTTTAGATTTAAATGATGTTTGGCAATTTAGCAGCGGATGAAAAAAAATGGAATGCGAGGCTTAGAGTAGACGCAAAGGTATGTGAGCATGTGGGGTACCCATGGTTATAATCATTTGCTGAATGAATAAGGTATGCCCACCCATACAATGCGGACGAACACGTCTTGTGGAATTCTTGTAATCGCCGGTTGGATGAACGAGCGAGATGTGTGTGAGTGCATTGTATGCGCATGAAAAGGAAGCGGCGAGGTTCGTATCCAGGAGAGAGCCCATTCAGCTACCTCGCTTGTGGAGTCGGAGAGCAAGTCGTGGAGCTTGTGAGCTCTTTAGCCGCGACTCCGGATGCTCCGCACATAAAATACACACGCAGACGACAACATGTACGTCCCTAGAGCCAACTGCATCAGAAGAAGTGAACTGCACTGAACGAGTAACAAGCTTTGCGGATGGGTCTCCCGGTGCGTGTGTCATTGATGGTATGTGTGTGAGTATGTTGGGTTGATCTCTTCGAGTCATCGCAGTCAACGCACGGTCGGTTCCCAGGTAAAGTCGGCGTAGAAATTGCATTCGGGCACCGGTTCCACCAGCCGCCGAAGGTATTTTTCAAAACTTATTTGTGTTGGCATTGCCGTGTGGGCAGGCGGAACGCAGAATGCCACCTACGCGACTCCGAAAAGATCGTACGGGATTATTTCTTTGTTACGCGCGGGCGGCCTTTTGTCGATACATTTGGCACTAAATACGCTCACGCGGTCACGTAAGTCCAACCGGCTCGCAATGACAAATTACAAACGCGATTGTGATTTATTAACGACTATAAATTTGCGCTAGCCGGATCGAAATTTCAACTTTTCGGTACAATAAAGACGTTTAACGTGTTTGGCGTTATGCGCGCGTGTTGGTGTGAAGGATAATAAAATCTCCAAGTCGACATTCCAGTTAAGCGCTGTAGAGATGCTCGCGAACGAGATAATATTTGAAGAGGGTTAATTAACACAAGATAACAATGACGTCGCGGTCGGTGCGAGCCGACCGATTAAAAACTACTTCCTGTGTACATAACACGGCTCTCGTAACTCTTTTCAGGTGTGTGCGATGTGCTGCGGTTTCGAGGTCTCTCTGGCATCCGGAGGCGGCGCTCGACGCTGGTTTTAACGCTCCGACACCGGCGTCGTATTTGTTTACAGCGCATTGTTATAAACCGGGATTAATTAAACTCTATTATGAACACCACACCACGCTACACTCTAAATTCTATATGGTATACTGATTGATAAAAATTTTTGAATTTTAACCCGTAAATTTACAAAAATCAATAATTTTACACAAAATTTTTGTATTTTGATATTGCTGTTTTTACCTAAAGAATAATATAAGTATTTGGTGGAGGCGTTCGATAGATATGCGTACAAAGCACGCGGAGTGAGGTCAAAATATCAATTTATCATTTCGCGTGCCCGCGCCGAACTAATAATAATTTTCGCCGCTTTTCCCCCGCAAAACCAGCGCCGCGTACAACAATTTCTACGGACGCGCTCATTCTCTCGATCATTTCGATTGTCCTCAGCGCGCGAACGTGAAACGAGAGCACGAATCCATTGCTTTCCTTTACTTTCGCCCAAAATGTGCTCTCCTATGATGAAGAACAGAACAAGCAGCAAAGAAGCTTATACAGAGTACTGCAACACCACAGAATAATTACTATAATTGTAAATTGTGTAAATTACTAGAGTACTATCAGGTATTGTATGTTAATTTTAGAAATTCACGATAAATAATTATTTTACGTGTATATTGTTATAGAAATTGTATTTTTGTTAACATGCTGTATATATAAAGTCGAGGGATTCTAATACTTTGCCGGAGTGTTAAAAGCGATGAGAATTCTATATCGACGCGACTTTGTTCAGCCCTGGCTGAAGAAAGAGCGTCGCAGCACAAATGTCAACGGCGCCCGCTATTGTTTTGATCTTATCAATAGTATTATTATTAGTCATGCCGGCTTCGAAATGAGTTCATTTCCATTGTCTGACAAACTAAATAACAATTATATCGACTTGGAGTTGCGAATTGATTGCGTTGCGGTTGGTAATTAATTTTAAATATTTTCAGGGTTAATTACCCTGAACGCGATACAGGCAAAAATGAAACGGGGTTGTGTTTTTCTACGCCGCGAATAAATTTCTTGCAATGGT